ATGACCAGTATGTGTTGTGTTGTATTTGAAATGTTTACTTGTATTCACAGGATCACCATTCAGCTTTATGGCTATGAGACGTGGTAAGGGATGCCATTCTTCGCAACATTTATTAATACTGTTACCATAGCAAAAGGATACTAACAATATATAGATTGCTTATTTCAGATCTTGGCTAGTTAATACGGTTAAGGAATTATTAACCATATTACCCAACCATGGTCTGTATTATGTATTCCATTCATCTATAGATTCATGTGGCAAGGTTGTATTATCTTGGTGAATACAAGAAGTGTTTTATGTCTTAATATTTGACTACAATTTGTCATGGTTACAAGATGTAACCAACAGAACATTGTTAACCTTGTGAAATATTTCAAATGTTGACAACGTGTCAACATAAATATAAATATGTATGGAATGAAAAAACTCCTTGCAAAATTACAAGAGTTATAATTAAGTTAACGTTATGTTTACTTTGTAATTAACATCTTCATTATGCAATGTTTTGTGAACATTTTTATTTTTACTGGATGACTCCCCATACCAGATAAAGCAAACCTTTCCTTTGAAGACTACTCATCTCTTTCATATCACCACCATTTGCTTTTCCACTACTTGACTACTAACTTATTCCTCTACAGATTCTATGGGATGTGTCATACCTCTAGTCACTATCTTTTCAATCTCTTGTTTGTCAATTTTACTTTTGACACTTTATTTGACTTGTTATTTCGTGTCCCATATTTTTACTAATTACACAATTAATTAACTAATGATCATTTACAGAGGATAAATTGTTTTCTGGTCTGGATTGTTGATGTCTATGCACATCTGTGACATTTTTTCTATGTTGATATTTAAGTATGTCTTAAATTTTATGATCTAACAGAAGACCCAGTGAAACTGGAAGTAGTTGATGCGGGTAAGGTAACAACACACGGTGACGGATTGCACAACGGTCAGGAAGGACAACCAGCGTCATTCACTGTAGATCCAAGGATGGCTGGAAAAGGAGATTTAAATGTACAGGTGGAAGGTCAGTCAGTTCATATGTATGTATAAATATGCTAATTTTATTAGTGCTGTCACATGTGTGGATAGTGGGCAATGTGTGCATAGCAAGTACTGTGTGGATGGTGGGCAATGTGTGCATAGCAAGCACTGTGTGGATGGTGGGCAATGTGTGGATGGTGGGCAATGTGTGCATAGCAAGCAATGTGTGGACGGTGGGCAATGTGTGCATAGCAAGCAATGTGTGGACGGTGGGCAATGTGTGGACAGTGGGCAATGTGTGCATAGGAAGCAATGTGTAGATGGTGGGCAATGTGTGCATAGCAAGCAATGTGGTGACGGTGGGAATTGTGTGCATAGCAAGCAATGTGTGGATGGTGGGCAATGTGTGCATAGCAAGCAATGTGTGGACAGTGGGCAATGTGTGCATAGCAAGCAATGTGTGGACGGTGGGCAATGTGTGCATAGCAAGCAATGTGTGGATGGTGGGCAATGTGTGGATGGTGGGCAGTGTGTGCATAGCAAGCAATGTGTGGACAGTGGGCAATGTGTGCACAGCAAGCAATGTGTGGATGGTGGGAAATGTGTGCATAGCAAGCAATGTGTGGGCGGTGGGCAATGTGTGCATAGCAAGCAATGTGTGGATGGTGGGCAATGTGTGCGTAGCAAGCAATGTGTGGATGGTGGGCAGTGTGTGCATAGCAAGCAATGTGTGGACGGTGGGCAATGTGTGCGTAGCAAGCAATGTGTGGATGGTGGGCAATGTGTGCATAGCAAGCAATGTGTGGACGGTGGGCAATGTGTGCATAGCAAGCAATGTGTGGATGGTGGGCAATGTGTACATGATTTCATGTCATTTTAACACTAACATTTTCTACTAGGACCAAATTCTATTGCTAAATGCAGTGTGGATCCTAATGCTGATGGCACATATAAGGTGACATATGTTCCTGTGGAAACTGGAATGTTTACCATCAAGGTTCTCTGGGCAACAAACGATGTTCAAGGTAAATAAATTAACATGTGCCTATATGTGATAAAGTGCTGCAAGCAAATTTTAAACATCAATTTATGTTTCTCTATGTTCAATTTAATATAATGTTACTAGGATTAATATTCTTAATTTAAATGACAGAGGTAAATATGCAGTTGAAAACAATTTCTGAAGACATAAGACAATTGTATTACTTGTATTGCTTTGTAGGAAGTCCATTTCATCCAAAGATAATTGATCCAAGGAAAGTACGATGTGTCAATGACAAAGTACCAGCGATGGATTCAAGTGGGTGTATTATATTGACTGTGGGCAGGAAATACAGTATGCCACTGGAATGTTTTGAAGCGGGCCCAGGTAAGAAATACATTATGCCACTGTAATGTTTTGATGCAGGATGCCCCAGGTAAACATTTTGATCAAAGTTTTGTATCAAACTTTTACTTACAGCTTTATCTTGTATCATTGTTTTATTAATTCATCATTTATAAAGGACTTATTGGCTTGATTTGGCTATAATGTATTTGTGTCATGTAGGTGCTTTATCAGCTGAGGTTCAGAGTCCAAATGGAACAAAACGACCAATGAATCTTGACAAGAGAAGTGATGGCACATATGATGCATCATTTGTACCTGATGAAGAAGGTGGGTTTGGTAATAGTGATTTGGTCAATTTGGTTGAAATGAACTCTCTGATAACTCTGACAATATATTATATACACAGTTATTTTACATCTGACATTCAAAATAATAGAATTTACCCATCCATAAATTGCCATACGGACATGTTCAAAAGTGTTAAAATTTTGTTCTCATTTCAACTCCTTGCTTCTCCCTTGTGGTGTTTAAACAACTTTGACAAATGACGATTTGTAGACACGCAATCGACACAATGACTGACCAAACGTGACTGAAAGACAGACGTGCCACAAAGTCTGGGGGCATTGCACTTTGTAGCAAAAATAGAAAACATTGTGGGCGATATCTGTCAATCATTCCTCTGATTTGCAGCCGATATTTATATTTCTGGTAACAACTTATGTAAATGTGAAAACAAAGTGTGTAACCTATTGTAGAATGTTATATATATCTAGCACTACTTCAGCATCAAATCAGTGCCTGGAATTGCTGTAAAGCTGCCGACTTATAATTACTCACTGGAACAAATATGAATTTGTATGTTTTTATTATTATGAAAAACTTTATCTTGAAATAAAGTAAATTATTAATATTTGATGTGAATAATTTTTATTTTACAGGTGAGCATTTACTGCATTTGTATTGGTCTGGGCTTCCAACCAAGAACTCACCGTATAAAGCCATGGCCTCTCGTGAAGTACTACCAATAGATCACTCCAAAGTTTTGTGTTCAGGCAAAGGATTGAAATATGGTAGAGTAAACGATGAGAGTGAATTCATAATTGATGGCTCACTGGCTGGACCAGGTATGTACATTTCTCTTTTTATGATATATTTCATATTGACATACACCCCCCCCCCCCCC